GGGGGGCAAATGAGGGTGGAGGCAGGTGTGGGTGCTTCACCTATCCCACCCACATGTTCAATTCAATCAAAAATACTTTATTAATCCCAGAGGGAAATTGTGTCGTCATAGCTCATCATCCTGGTTTCATTCAAGAGTTGTTAGATGCTGATAGCTGTGGGCAGGAAGGATCTCCTGCAGTGAATCCGAAGAATCTGGCCACAGATACCGATCCATCCATGCGGATCCAGCTTGCTGTCAGATCCTGATGGCCTCTCAGTCCTCCTGGGCAGCAGAACTGCCCAAATGCCAGGCAGAATTCTTCCCTGAGCGATGGTCACTCCTCCCTGCAGTCTGCCGAACTCCTCGTCGCCGCAGACAGACAGCTGAGAGTGCCGGGGATGATCCCAGTCCTCCTGTTGTCACAAGCCTAGTTTCCCACCAGCTCCAGGATCTCGGCGGTCAGGTACAAGAGCACCGATGCCAGGTTGACGGGAATTCGTCCACAGCGCCTCCTTTTCAGCTCATTTGGGATTTGGGGCTGTAGTTGAGATATTGAACTGGCGATCTTCCAATCACAGACCCACCTTCTCTAACCTCTGCGCTCCCTTGCAGTGTTAGGTTAGCTTACTTTATTTATACCCAAGGGTAGATTTAGTTTGCAGTGGTACAAAGCACACACACTTGTAAAAAGTAAGAACTCTTTAAATATTATTCTTAAAATGCAGGAAATTAGTATTTATTAATTTTACTGATTACATATACGCATTGATTTTATTTAGACAAGTTTAAGTTGCTTTAGGTTTAACGACAAACCCAAGCATTGTATGTAAGTCATGTGGTAGAGGATTTATGAAGATATATGGGTGTTTATTTGTGTTTGGTTAGTGTTGCAACATGCAGCTCTGTTTTATTTTATGACTTGTTCCTCAGACATGATGAAACTGGAAGGCTTTAATATCTCAAATATGAATCCATTATCATAACTTAAGCGTTGTGATCATAAAAAAATTTTTTTTTACATTTCAAAATTAAAGGTTTACAACAAATTGTTGACATCTGTTGGTAATTTTACATGTTAGGACAAAACTAAAGAATAAACTCTTATGATGAGGAGAAATAAAAACATTTTCTTTTTACTTCCCTTTGATAAAATTGTAAATACTGAATGCATCTTGTGTGAGTTCTTACTATAATTCTAGCCACTTTGAAATAATAAAGCGACATGTTTTCATCCTTATTAATAGTGAACATTAAAATATTTGAACAGATTGTTGGATAATTATTTCCTCTAATAAAGTGGAAAACTTTACTTCCACTTTTATTTATTTTTACCAAAAGCAAGCATTGTATTTCGATGGCTTGTAGCAGTAGCATGTGAACAAAACAGAAAACTGTTAAAACTAGCCACCCTTTTGTGGTTGTGATAATAAATGACATCGATGATTCCTATTATTTTTGCTGAAAGCTACGACGGGCCACTGCAGAAACCGCAGTCAGCAGAACGACCAAACGGCCGCATGTGGCCCCGGAACCGTTCATGCAAACCCCTGGTTTAAGCAAAGTAGAATACTCATTTGAACATGGTCGGGTTTAGTGACTAAAAAAGCTAAAAAAAAATAATTAATTAATAAAAAAAAAAAAAAGACAAAATGCTGAATTTCATGTAGTATTTGGGAGGGAGTGGCCAGTTCGAGCGGCTCCGTCACATACCGGATGCGCACCCTTCCCTTCCTCCTCTCAGCCGGGCTGCCGTGTCTTCCTTCCGGGCTTGCCGAAGAAAGTTGAGGGAGGTTCAGCCGCAGCTGGGGCTTTACATAATGGACAGCCAGGGAAGGAAAGTGGTGGTCTGTGACAATGGAACCGGGGTAAGTTTGCGTTCATGGCTCGGCGTTTTATCGAGTCGCGGCTCGGTTTAAACGGAGCCGTAATGTCGGAACATCTTTTTTTTTTTTTTTTACCGAAACAGGAAGTGGAGGCTGTCAGTTAGCCTCGACTGGGCGTGTAGCCTGTTAGCATGCTAATTCTCATTCATCCTGATTTGACTCGAGAATATCACACAAGGCGTTTGTGAATGCCAGATTAAACGCTGGATGTATAGCTTTGAGTTAGGCTCTCACAGATGCACGCATTTTCAAATCACACCAATGAGAACGGCTGTTTGTGTTCGCAGCGGTAACCAAGCTAAAGATGCTAACTAGCCTGCCAGGTTAAACAGCTGTCTGCTAGCGGCGTCACTTATTCAACTGATTTGTTCAGCAAACACTCGGGATTTGCAGATTCATTATGTCCTCCATCCAGTTGGTTCTTTTAACAAGAAAAACAACTTTTCTTCTACAAACTCGATTCGACAGCTAGGTTTAACGCTGTCTAGGCCGAGCCAGGTAAATTGAGGAACCTCCTATGATCTTCGCCCCCAACAAACAAACAAACTGGCAGTGATTAGTAATTATGCTGGGTAAAAACAAATCACGCAAACGCAATAAAGTTATAGCTGTTCTGAATAATTACGGAATAATTAGCTGCTGTTGACATGTTTCACAGATTAAGGGTTATAAACTTCCGGATACTGACACAAGTAACCCTGACCGACTGAGATACAAAAAGCCAAAAAAACATAAATGACAAAAATGCTCATTATTTTGCAGACTAGCATGCGTGAAGATTAAACATTATGTATGAAGGTAGTTAGATTTGCATTTAAGTGAATGGATTTTGTTTGAACCTTACTGGCGAGGCAAAAGAGCTTTTCATTAAACAAATTAATTCTGTAAAAAAAAATCAGTATCTTAAAAAAAAACCCCACTTCTTGCAGTAGTAGGATGTTAGTCCTCTAACGTTATATGCTTAGCCGATAGAATGAATGAATAATAAAAATGATTATTTAGGGAAATATTGCTAAATTCATTATTTTCCCTAAATTGTGGGAATGGTGGTGCAGAGGTTAGAGAAGGTGGTCCTGTGATCGGAGGGTCGCTGGTTCAACTTCCCGGACCGACAACATCTAAATGTGGGCTGGGAAGGTGAAACACCTTTCTCTACGTGCCTCACTCTCTGGGCCCATGAGCAAGGCCCTTAACTCCCATCTGCTCTCCGGGTGTCCTAGATGCAGCTCTCTGCTCCACAGAGGGCTGTGGTAGCTCCGTGTCTGTGGTAGAGTCAGGAAGGACATCCCATGTAAAAACAGTTGTCAAGTCTTTGTGCTAGTTTGCTGTGGTGACAAAGGGAGCAGCTGAAAAAAGAAAAAAAAAATACTGGTGTATATATATATTTCCCCTAAATAAAATGCTAAACAAGATGTACAAGAATATTTTAGAAGTTGCCAGAGTGAATTTCTTTAATTTTTACCCACTAAACTACTCGCTAAAAAAGTGGTACTTAATTACTGGTAGATAGAAGTACATCAAAGCTTTTGTTTCTGCTTTAGTTATTAAACCGTATCGTATTATTATTAAATTATTCAACAGCTGTATTATAAACCATGAAATATTAGTTTTATCTGTTAAAAATACCTGGATTTATTTTAAAATTAAGGGGAACTTTTATTTTTTGATTGTTAGGAAAATGTTTTTAATTCATTATGGGATCATTCAGTGTTTTAGTAGACTGTCAGATTTAGAAATATTTTAAAACGGCTTGAAGAAAAACAAAACGGAGGTAAACTGATCAGGCTTTTCAATGGCTGATATAAATCTTTAGCAATCAGCGCAGCTGGTGGCCAATTTATGAATCTGATTAGTTTGCTTTTAGCCTATAATCACAAGAATTTAATAGTCATGCACATTACAAACTGTAGAAGCTGTAGAAAGACAATAAAATCAAGGAAACGAAAACAAAGTGCCTATAATTTTGTAATTTGGCTCTGGGGTTTAATGCAGATCACTTCTTGTTCTACCATTACAGTTTACTAAATAACATGCTGTGAACACAGTTCCAAGATTAACGTTATTAATATTTTCTCTCTTAAAATAACATAATGAAATGCTTTTAGAAAAATATTAAAAACAATAAAAGAAAATAATAAAGTTTTAGCAGTTCTTCCTCATAAATATAGCTTTGTTCTTTTAAAAGATCTGGTGTTGTATTCAAAAAGCAACCCTGCTGACAATAGGGCACAATGTCATGTGTAACACTGTGCTGACCACGGATGTGCCTGTGTTTAATTCTGTTTAAAAACACTGTGTGGCCAATGCTTACTACTGGAGGGAGCAGATTAAAAAACTGCAATGAATATGTCCACCTCTGTGCCTTGTATTTAACGTGATGTTGATCAGGTAATATGCTGTATTTATTGACATTTTCATCTTTATTTTGTTGCACTAGAGAGCTGCCACATTTATGCACCCATAGAGATGACAAATGTTTTTATGCAGCTGTAAACTTTTGTCCAAGTTAGCATTTTTAATTTATTAAACACAGTTTTTTATCATCGTTTATGCGTTTCTGCTCGCTGCAACAGGTAAAACAGCCCTTTTTTTAACTTCAGGGACTTCCTTATTTAAACATCGTCAGCAGCCAAGAAGGATGTGGCCTCAGCATGTTACTGACTAATAAGGCTTTTTCAGATGTGACTTCAAGAGCATTGTGTGAAACCAAAGAAGAAGGAAAAAAAAAATCTGCCATTTGTCAGGGTTGAACTGAGAAGTCAGGAGGAAGTGAGAAGAGACAAAACCCACAGCCACTTATGTCAGACATATTCTGAGAGCTTTGACAAATTCTGTTTTTATCAAAGTGGCCATTTTTGCTTCAACTTGTGAAGCTACAAGCACCAGTTAGTTAACATATAAGACAACTCAGAATTTATTTTTTAAATTGTAAAGGACGGTACATATTATTTGGCATTTCATGGGCAGCTGTGGCTGAATGGTTAGAGCAGTCATCCTCCAGTGCAAGAGTTGGGGGTTCGAATCCACCAGCAGTCGCATGCTGAAGTGTCTCAGGGCAAGACACTGAACCCCTCGATGCCTCTGATGTGTGTCCTATCAGTGTATGAATGTGATAAATCACTGATTAGTCTCTGTAGAATGATTTGATTTGTTCAATTAGAGCTCTAGTAGAGTGCTGTATGAATGGGTAAATGAGACACAGATTGTAGTAAAGAGCTTTGAGTATCTTGATAAGACAGAAAGGTGCTATATAAGTACAGTCCGTTTTACCATTATTTTACAGACATGCACTGATTCTAAGAGTTAATCAAATAATTTTTATCTTAGTGTTTTCTAAATGAATAAATGCAATAATAAATCCTTTGTTGTTTTTAATGCACATACATTTTAAATGCAGCTGCACGGTGCATCGATACGTTGGTGTTGAATGTCACCTGTTTATCTTATCAGCACCTGAGTGTATTGCCCAATCAGTTCCTCTTTGTTTTGCTCTGTTGCAGTTTGTCAAGTGTGGCTATGCAGGCTCCAACTTCCCAGAGCACATCTTCCCTGCGCTTGTTGGGAGGCCCATCATTCGCTCCACAGCCAAAGTGGGAAATATTGAGATTAAGGTACAAAATTATTGCTCTTCTGTTCTGAACGTTCTTATTAGAAAGAGTTTTCTATTTAGAACTGCGGTGATAAATATGTGTCAAGACATATAATCAGGTGTAAAAGAACAAAGATAATTTTTCATTCAGGTTTCAGATCTTTATTTCATTCATACAGTGAAAAGTCTTGAATAATGTTGGAAAACTAGTTTGGTTTTAACCACAGTACCCACCACTACCTTTCTGCTGTTTTTCTTTTAACTGTTTCCTTCAAATTACCTTTTCTACCTGCCTTGTATTTTTTTGTTTCATGTTTTGTTCTCCTTGGTTCAAGTAGAATGCCCAGAAGATGGTAAGTCCAGGTTGGTGTGGGCTTCCTGTTCTTGCCTGCTGCAGAGCTGTGAAATGTTATGCTCAAACTAAAAATTAACTTTTTCTCAAACTTTTTTTTAAATGTTTTTTATTTTTGACTCCCTCTGATTTCATTGTTGCACATCTAATTTAATTGATATTTGGTGTTCAGTTTGAGGATGGATGGCCAGATTTTGACGTCTGGTAAATGCGCCACTTCCCGTTAAAGTACTCCGTTCTTCAGCCTTTAACTGTTAGCAGCGACGCCTGTGATGAATCAATGGCCAGCTGTTATCGGTGGAGAGCTAAAAAGAGATTTGGAGCTGGTCCCATTTTCAGAATCTCTGATCTCCATGCTCCCTGACAGCTCAATGCCCACCTCAGTCCTGCTGCAGCGTTCAGGAGAAAAGAAATTGAAATGTCAGCTTCAGCTGGAGCACTTGGCTGTTTCTATTACAGATCTTTTATGAAACAGAAAATATATTCTGTTTTAATAATGTCCAGTAAGTCGAACTTATCTGCTAGTCCTGAGGAAGTGTTCATACTCAAGAAAACCTGTCAGACAGCTGAGAGTCTCAGACAGAGGAACATCTGTTTTAGTTTTATTCAAAACATGCCTGTGACTGGTACTTTGTTAATGCCAAAGCACACATGATGAACCCATAAAATGGCTGCCTCCAGTGGGCTTTTGATGTGTTAAAGTGGAACGTGAGATGCTTGACTGTGTGGCTAACACTGAGTTGTAGCCCAGCAGCTGTTTACACTGCCAGGCTGCCTCGCATGTGGCTGTTTGAATGAGAGATGAAACAAAAATGTGCTTTGCTGTAGCGGCAGCAAAGTGTTTCCAGGTGTAAATGCATGGAAAGTAATGCTTTATAGTGCATGCTGGGTAACTGAGTTTTAAACTGAAGTTATATGAATGCATCTGTTGCCATCTGACCGATGGTTTAAAGATTTTGTGGTTTGAGCTGAGAAGAAGGCAAGTTGAAGTGACTGAATTGTGCTCCATTCTGAATGGCATTGACAGGTCAGGTTTGCCTTTTTTTTAAAAATACTTCTTTTTATTGACCCTTTTTCCAGGACCTGATGGTAGGAGATGAGGCCAGTGAGCTGCGCTCCATGCTGGAGGTGAACTATCCCATGGAAAATGGCATTGTCAGGAACTGGGATGACATGAAGCACCTATGGGATTACACCTTCGGCCCAGAGAAGCTCAATATCGACTCTCGCAACTGCAAGATCCTACTCACTGAACCCCCCATGAACCCTACCAAAAACCGGGAGAAAATCATTGAGGTGTCTTTTCTCTTTTTGTACAATTTGAAGCTAAGTTTCCTGATAACAGAAAGTGTAATAAGCTATTGTGTCACAAAGCCGATACTATAGTATCAGTAAGGGAAATCTGTTTTAAAAACAAATTATTTTTTCCACCATCCACAGAAAACTTTATTTGCTGCTTGTTGCAAAAATAATTGTAGCTTTTGTTCCCTTTGTTTCTTATGTTTTTCTGAAAATATATTTCTTCATCCCTGTCACAGGTGATGTTTGAGACCTACCAGTTTGCAGGAGTCTACATTGCTATTCAGGCTGTTCTGACACTGTATGCTCAAGGTAAGAGGCTTCTTTTCAAGTCGAGGCCACAAATTTCCCTCCATGTTCACCAATCTTTTCTGCACAAAAGTATATTTTTTTAACCAAGACAACACTGTAATATTAACAACAAAGTCCATGCTCAATAATCCACGTATAAAATCCAACATTTTTCAGTCAGGTCATCTGGACAGTTTCTTTTTTTGTGCTGAAACGTTTCGCCTTCGATCCGGAAGGCTTCATCAGTCGAGGAAGTTTCCTGGTAAAAAGTTAAAAAAAAAACAGTAAAAAGCCCTAAGTACTATTTTCTTAGGAGTTTTTAATAATTACAAATTAAAATAATCCTTTATTTCCTTTTTATACAATTTTGACTTTTTGACCCACGTTCTCTGTCTGGGCTCAGAGAAAAGAGTTATTGGTCAAAACAGCTCAACTTTGTGTCATTGCAGGAACAAAATGGCAGAAGTATAAATTTCTCTAATTTGTGTTTATTTCCAACTGTTGAGTATTTCTTTGTAGTTCTTGTTCCAGGTTCTGCTTGTTTATCCATTTTTGGTCCTTTTTGGATTCACCGTGTTCATGTTCTAGGATTGATACTCAGCTCTTCTGTTTGTGTCCCAGGTCTTCTCACCGGTGTGGTGGTGGACTCAGGTGATGGTGTGACACACATTTGTCCAGTGTACGAGGGCTTCAGTCTGCCCCATCTGACAAGACGCCTCGACATCGCAGGCAGGGACATCACCCGCTACCTCATTAAGGTGTCCAGTCTCATAAAACATTGAGACACTGACTGTCTTGCTGCTTTGAACAGATAATTAAGTGTGCTTTTCCCTCACCATCTTTCCATCCTTTGTGTGTGTGTGTGTGTGTGTGTGTGTGTGCAGTTGTTGTTGTTGAGAGGTTATGCCTTCAATCACTCTGCAGACTTTGAGACAGTGCGCATGATGAAAGAGAAGCTGTGCTACGTTGGCTACAACATCGAGCAGGAGCAGAAGCTGGCCCTGGAGACCACCGTGCTGGTGGAATCATACACGGTACAGACACGCATGTTTGTTCAGTGGTGGGAATTTGTCGGCACCTCACATTTTAATCTGATTACAATTCAGAAGAATGCTATGCAGATACAAAACAATTATTGATGCGTTTAGATTATATTCAAACTTAAAGGATTGTCAGTGGCTGTGCCCCTCATACACTGACGACATAGATTCATGTTAGCAAAATCAATACCTGACAGATGAAAACTAATTTTGTCTTTTATGTACGTGATGAATTGGAAAAATTAAATTTATCACCCACCCTTGATGTTATAGTTGGAACATTTATTTCATAAAGTCTGGAAGAAATATGTTGCATTTAGAAGATCCAGGCCATGTTTGTAGATCTAGTTGTAAACATGCCTGCAAACTAGTCGCTTTACGGCAAAAATTTCAAGATTTTTAACTAAAATATGTCGTTTATGTGAATCGTGTAGATCTGAAGAGTTTTTGTTTTCCTGGAAGGTGGGGGTCAGAGGCGTGGTGGGAAGGTGGGGGTCAGAGGCGTGGTGGATGGCATTATTTCTCTTTAAGAAACAGAGTTCCTCCTCGGTCACTTGGCTTAGCAGGTGCTCATCTCTTCGGGGGGTTTTGTTGTTGTGGGGGGTGGGAGGGGGAGACACCTCCATGTTGTGCGTTAGCTTACAGCAAGTTGTTGACTGGCGAGGGGTGGGGGTGTGTGGGGGTTAACGGAGTGTGTATCATCTTAACTAGTGCGTCTGTGTTGTGCGCGGTAAGATTTTTCCCTAAGATTAGAAAAGTCCAGCTGATGGTGTTGGAGAACACCTTGATGAAGAAAGATGGTGTTGAGGAGGAAGAACCCAGGTAACACAAGTTTTCTGGAAAGTACTATTGGTAAAATCAGTGATGGGGAAGGAATAGTGGAAAGAGAATCGATGGATGTTGTTCCAAGTGGATTATAAAGGAAAGGGGAATTAAAGTTATGAAGTGTAGAAATTGTGGAAGCAAGGAAGGAACCTGTAAATGATTTAGTTTTAATAATTTCATGCAGGCTGACAAAACTCACTAAAGTTTTTTTGTCACTTGCTTGGCACAGTGTAATTTAATGTTGTGAAGGTTTCATGATGTCATGTCATTTTCTGTTATGAGTCTGAGTGTTATATTACTAGATCAGAAAACAGTAAAAAGCCCTAAATTCACTGCTCGTGGTCATTAAAATGTTCAATGAGCAAAGTTAATTTTCTTATTTTTAAACATGCAGTTCATCGTCATCATTACTTAGCACAATAGCATGTTGTGTTATAAGTAAAACTAAATAAAAAGTTAACAAAATAAAAGTCAAGTTCACCCCTAAAGTCATTGTGACAAATTGTTTCAGATTAATTTCATTATCTTAGCCATAGGAGTGAGTTCTTTAATTGTTTTAATACTGATGATTATGGCATACAGCTCATGAAAACCCAAAATGCCTGTCACAAGAGACTGCGTCAGAAGCATCTCACCTGGGACTGCTGCTGAGTGGTCCAAAGTTATGTTCTCTGATTACAGTAAATTTTGCATTTCCTTTGGAAATCAAGGTCCCAGAGTCTGGAGGAAGAGAGGAGACACAGAATTCACATTGCTTGAGGTCCAGTGTCAAGTTTCCACAATCACTGTGGTGCCATGTCAGCTGCTGGTGTTGGTCCACTGTGTTTTTTCAAGGGCAGGGTCAATGCAGCTAGCTATCAGGAGATTTTGGAGCACTTCATGCTTCCATCTGCTGAAAAGCTTTATGGAGATGAAGATTTCATTTTTCAGCATGACCTGGCACCTGCTCACAGTGCCAAAACCACTGGTAAATGGTTTACTGACCATGGTATTACTGTGCTCAATTGGCCTGCCAACTCTCCTGACCTGATCAGATAGCTTCAGGATGTTTTTTCTTCCAAACTCCTTTAAAATCTAAGTTATTCATATTCAAGTTAAACTTATTTTTAAAACGGTTTTTAATTGTTTAAGAAAGTTTAAATCCCTGGATGATTTGTTTTTGAAATAATTTATTGCCTGAATAAAACACAATGTGTGCTAGCTTGGTAAATGTTTCACTGGCGCAAATGTTTTTTTATTTTAGTACAAAAAGGATAAAATTATTAAATTTACTAATACACAGTTGCCATTTTATCATTTGCTTAGTATATATGGTGGATGGCATAAAAATGGAGTCATGGAGAGGATTAATGTCCTCCCTTGGACATTGAGTACATTAAATACTGGTACTCAGTTACAATAAAAAAATATATTTATTTACTCATAAGGATGTTCATTCAAGCTTTATTTAGACAGGTTAATCCCACTGAGCCTCCAGGACTCCTTTACAAGAGAGACCTGAAACGTATAGGAAGTACGAATGTTTGAGTAAATAAAAAGGAACAGTTTTGGCACTTTTGTCTAAATGAAGCATCTGATTTTTAGGAGACATCTCTTGTTTAACTCCTCACAGTTTTCATACTTTTTGTTGTCGCGTGTAGAATCAAACCTGAGCAATAAATGCAAGAAATAACTGGAAACTGTGGGGGGGAACATTTTTAGATATAGATTTGTGATACCTGGTAACATCCTCCCTTTATGAGACATGTTCTACATCTGTTGAAGATATTTTTGTCTTTAGACCGTTAAACCTAAAATTATACACACACAATTTTTTATTTCTGTTAGCAAAATAATTGTCACAGAAATAATTCATTTCAAAGGATTTGTACATAAAATGTAGTTTTAGAGTATAAATATTAGTTCTGAGCTGAAGAGACTACCATATGGTCGTTGTTGGCTGCTTACAGCTGATGAACTGTTTTCTCTGGGATGCAGACATATGGGTGTGCGGCGCTCCACCATCAGACTTGCTTTTTTTTTTCCAAGGTCCGTTTTGTGTGGAGGGAACCACAGAATCTAAACGTTGGTTCTAAAGTCCGTGTTACTGCACGCCTCTCCTAGCACATGTTGTGTCTCGGAGCTGACTGTGACCGTGTGTGTTATACTTAGTGTAGGCGACTGAGTGTGTGGAGTGTTCCGAAACAAGGAGAGCAATGTGACTGTGGCTGAAGGGCCCTGAACTGCCTGTTGCATCATTTCCTGTGCAGCCACTTTGTGGCATGGCTGGGTTCTGCTTCTTCCCACTGAATGACCTGAATGAAGCCTTTTTACAGTCAAACCCACAACCTCTCTTTACTCTAAGTTGCTGCTCATTTTAATATCCATCAGTAGTCAAAACATTTTTCCTTTAAAGATAAACTGTGCAGGTAAAACTGGGGTTTTACACAATCTTTTGTTGTTTTTCTATTAAGTTCTATACCCTTGGGTGCTATGAGACTCTAAACCCTGTTTCCTGTGTAGTGTCATACTCTTTATCCCCGCTCTATTCATCTCATCCCTCCCACACATCTGCAGCTGCCAGATGGTCGTGTGATCAAGGTGGGAGGAGAGCGGTTCGAGGCACCCGAGGCTCTGTTCCAGCCCCACCTCATCAACGTGGAGGGTGTTGGAGTGGCTGAGCTCCTCTTCAACACCATCCAGGCAGCTGACATAGACACCAGGTGAGAACCAACATGTGTCCCCATCCATCCAGCATACACTGTGCTATCAAAGCCAAGACTGAAACACTATTAGAGGTGCTTCTGACTAACTCTGGGTTTCTGCTGCTGTAACAGCACAAACACATAAAACTGCAGAGCGCTCACTGAAAGGAAAGGGGCCTTATTACATATTAATAAAACTTATTACCCAAAGTTCTTTCAAGAAAATAATTTAAAAAAAAGCTTGGAGACACTGCTTAGTCAGAATTCATCTCAACTGTCTTGGATCATTTGGTGTCCATCTGTTTGTCTCCAGGCCTGAGTTCTACAAACACATCGTGCTGTCAGGAGGATCCACCATGTATCCAGGTCTGCCGTCTCGGCTGGAGAGAGAACTCAAGCAGCTGTACCTGGAGCGTGTGCTCAAAGGAGATGTGGACAAGCTCTCGGTGAGGAAATAACATCACACCTCATTTTTGTTGTTTTTAACTAACTTGTGTGACAAGTGTCAGCAAGCCTGACTTAAAACTGCTGCCATGTGGTTCTCAGTATGACTGGCTTTGAAAAACTGGTTTAATCTTATGTCAAGTTAAAAACTGGTTGAGCTGTGACTGATGAGATTTTAAAAATAGGATTCTAAATTTAAGGGAACCCTCAGATTTTCCATTTGCAGCTCATTCAACCACTCAGTTTGTGTGAGTTAAACGTTTCCGCTGAGCCTCAGGTATTGTTTAAATTAATCTGCATGGAGTCTCTTACATGTAAGAGGTGTGTGAAAGGTACAAATACTGCAGTGTATTTTAGACACTTTAGTAAGAATGGGCTTTACAGAATGTACTTTTAGTAAATTAAATAAGTCTTGAAATTTGTTTTATTAGCTATGTTTAAAATAATTAAGTTCAGATCAGCTTTTAGTTTCTACTTACTGGTATGTAGTGTAGCCAGCAGACCACCAGGTGGTGCAAGAGGGCAAAATACATTCATCTTTGTGAAGCAGAAGAGCAAAATAACATGGATCATTTCAGTCATGTAAAATAATGTATCTCAAAGTAACAAATGTTTGACACAGGGCTTTTATAAACATTATTTTTTGTCAGTGGTATTTGATTGATTGGCTTCAGTTTTCTGTGCTCAACTGCACTCGGCAGCAACTTGTTTATCTCACAGAATGGTCATAAAAAATCATACAATCAAGCATAAATATGATACACTTGAGTTATAAAAAAAACTACACTATTCTAAAGTTTTGTATACCTGAATCTTAACAAAAAAATCTGACTATTACATGGTTCTAAAATGATGTAAATGAGCACATCATGTTGCACCACATCTTTAACAAAAATTGAACCAAAATGCAGAAGTAGTGCGTGGGAATATGTGGAAGTAATGTACAAGTACACTCTTTAGGGGCTAAGTATCAATCAGGTGCTGCTAATCAGTGGATTTGCACGTCAAAAATAGAAAAGTAGTAAAAGTAGTTTTTTTGTCATCTTGTTGCGCTGTTGCATACAGCTTATTGTTTGCATGACACCAAGGTGGAAGGACATCAGCAATGATCTTTGAGAAATTATTGTTACTGTCTTAAGAATTCTAGAGCCATTTCCAAACTACTGCATCATTCTCCAGTTGGAAATATTGAATTTCCACAAAATTGAGAACTCGGTGGAGGGAGTTGTGCCTATATTAACTACATGTTGTAAAAAGGAGTGGGCCAGAATTACTCCACAGAAATTTGTGAGACCAGTAAGGTCATACAGCTGACGATTATGACCAGCTGCAGCCGCTAAAGTTGGTTCTAAAAGCCGATGAACCAGAAGTGAACTCCGTTTATCCACTGCTTCTGCATTTCATTTAGTTTTTGTTAAATTTCCTCTTCAACACATCATGCTGATGTTTATCCATGGATAAGATTGTAAAACCTGTTAAGGACCAGAAATGTTCTTGTGGGGTTTTGTCCTGATCATGTCAATTATAAGAAGTAACATTCCACCTAGTTTTATCTCAAATACTTGCATTTTGTGTGTTTGAGAAAGGCAGATGAGCTATTATTAAATTTCCACAGCCACCCCTAAATGTGCTTAAAGACATCACTGCATTCGTGGCTTGAACCTTCAGCTGTTTTTGTTTATCATGGACTCTTTCGTGCAACAAACAGCAGCTTTATCCTTCACCCTGTATGGTGAAAACATGAGCATTTGGGCTCAACTGGCTCCAGAAGGGGTTTTTTATGAACCCACACTTTAAGATTTCATTTTTGTCTAACCTGGTGCCACATGACTAAGATGACAAGAATTTGACTGCACAGGCTCCAAGTCTATAAAAGCATTTTAGACATAAAACTGATTTGGACACCCCCACCACAAAAAAATTTAAAAAATCCTGATTTGCTCCATGTTTCAGTGTCGTTCAGCAGAATCTTTTGGTCTTTTGACATAAAGCTGCTTGTTTTGATTCAGTCTGGCAACTCTCACCTGTGTTTTCAGATGTAGCATTATTTTTGTATGTTAAATACAAAACATTGACGAGGAAGGTTTTAACTTTTATAGTGACCAAACAGCATTCCAAGTAAAGGTCATTATTATTAAAATCTGCAGTATTTTACATTTAAATAGTCTTTTCTTGCTCCATAATAAGTTAAAAAGTAACACCAGTTTGTATAAATGTTGTGTGTAAAGAAACGCAGATAACATCTGATGTCATCGCTCTACTGCGGTTCAGCTCCTCCTGTTGAGTAGCTAATGATGCAGTTAAAAACTTTCTAAACAGACAATAAGGTGTTCCAGTGCATTCAACAGAAAATGGTTAATGTCACTTAGTCTATATTTCCTGTATTTTTCAAACTTACAGTTTCATTAAGTTCCTCAACATCTGGATTTTCAACATCAAAACATGCGTCAGGAACGTCTTAACAAATGGGGTTAAGTGACAAATGGAAGAAATGGGGTAAACAGATAAATGAAGTGGTCAAAAGATAAAACGATCAAAAGATAAACAGCATTGCCAAATCCTAAATTTACAACAATGTATGAAAAGTGTCTCAAAACTATTTTCTGATTTATTATTACCATAAGTGCTTCTAGCCTAAATATTAACCTGATTGAGAAGCATTTGTAAATAATTTTATATTATAGTAAAGTACTACCAAGTTTTTTTTAAACATATGATGTAATATAAGTATTTACATTTCAGTCATAAATTGTATTACTACTTGTCAAAAGCTTGAATGTAAAATGTTTCTTTATCCCCCATTTGAGTCCATCTGAAGGAGAGGGACTGTTATAAAATAATAATAGTTTAAATTTATTTATTTTAGAAAAACTTGAACTCGATATTTCTGTTCATTTTATACAACTAAACCTAATCATAGTTTCATGAACATACATAAATCTTAGGAATAACCATTTCTAATAATAAGAATGAAGACAATTTTGGAGTTGACCCATTATTTTCTTCCTGGATGTGGAGTTTTGATGCTGGTCTTCCATCAACATGGAGACCTTCACTGGGGGAATATCCAGCTGTGTCATGAACTTATTGCGCCTCTGTGTCTCTTCCCCCCCCGTTTCACAGAAATTTAAGATCCGGATTGAGGATCCTCCCAGGCGAAAGCACATGGTGTTCCTGGGCGGCGCAGTGCTAGCCGACATCATGAAGGACAAGGACAACTTCTGGCTGACCCGGGAGGAGTACCAGGAGAAAGGAGTCCGTGTGCTGGAAAAACTGGGTGTCACCGTCAGATAAAGCTTCGGACAGACAGAACACACACACACAAACACACAAACATATGAAAACACAAATACACATTTCACCATTCGCCCACATCGCAGAGTTTATATCTATTTATCCCCCTTCTACGTTTTTTGGGCTCTTGATTCTCTTCAAACATCAAATGGAGTCAAGCCCTCTCCTCCTTCTTCTCTCCTCTCCCCTCCGCCTTTTCTTCCTCTTCTCCTTCTCGAGGATTGGCTCAGAATTTGTCTCGCAAGCCCAGAGGAAGTAATTTCATGCTTGCAGATTTCAACTGAAACTCCTTGAGAGTCAGAGTTTTTGTTTTCTCTGAAAAACCTGCAAATAGATTTATCATTTTAGCAGGCGAGACCATCGAACAGCTGAAAGTTTAGCTTCTTTTCCAAACCTTTAGGGGAATTGTTGATGCAAACTTTCAAACTCCTACTGTCACAATCACAGCCTATCAAAAACAGTCACGTCCGCTTTCAGCATCTTTTTCAGGTGAGCGCGAACTGATCACATTTTTGTTTGTTTTTTATTATAAACGATATCATGACCTTTATTTTTCTGGGTGAAGGATTTTTGCTCTTTTCTTTTGCTGGATGTATGAGTTATCTTTAAAGTTATTTTTATTTTTTCCATTAAGTTTCTTGTTTCGTTGCTGTGCACTGCTATAAATGTAAAGTGCACACAGTGATATAAATTGTTTTTTTTTTCTTAACAAATTAAATAATGGTTGATTGATAAAGGGACGAATAAAAAGCCCTGAGCTTGACATGGAGTGTGTGACGGTACGTTTGGGGTTAACGGGGAGTTACTGTTAGTGCATCATCAAACAGCCTTGGGTCTGTTGCCTCTTTAGAAATAAATCTTAAGATGAATATATGGATTTGAACTGTCGCAGCTTGATTTGAAGCTGAGATGTCACCTTACGTATCATGTTCTCATGGATCCAAACACTTGGAGGCAGGTGCAGGTTCAGGATCTATTTGCAACATGAAACCTGGAAATCAAACGGTATCCTAATAAAGTTGAAATGTTGTTGAGACCATATTTAAGTTCTCCAGTTTTTGGCTCCCTGAGGTTGACTGGAGGCACTTCTATTTTGATAAATGAGTGTACATTTTCTTAATTTTTTTTTTTTTTTCACAAACGTTTATCCAGTGCCAAGTGCAGTTCATGTTAACTGGATCTCATGATTCAATGTCTTTTCTTTTTTGTCACCGTTTTTGTTTTTTCCTGTGTCGTTCATAGCATAACTGCCTAACGCTGATTTAAATAAAAGTGATTTATAAGGACAGGTGTGGGGCAATTCTTGTTTTTGCTGAGTACAACTGATGTGCATTTACTTATTTTTATTCCTTTAAAAAACAACTTTGCAAAGTTTTGTTTAGAAGTTTGTTGCACAGGAAGGAATAACACAAAAGACCCATCAACAGAGGAGAACTAGATCTGTGCAACTAGGAGGAGGAAGAGGAAATGGAGCGGTGGCAGAGAACTGGCGCCAGCAGAGGTAGAGGTGCTCTTTCCGTGCTTGAAATAAAAGCTCTCAACCAGACTCTTCCGGTTTTGTTCCATTTCAATCCCTTGACTCCTGGTGCTTCCCTCGTAACCTTGAACTGTTGCCTCTGAGGTGCCGGTCGACGTTTCCTCTACATCAGAGCGCAAACGGAGGCGTCGCCTGACCGCAGTCTGTAAAGGAGCTGAGAACTTATTTTCCTTGTAAACGAGATACTTTTAGTGAAGTTGTAATTTTGTCAAGTTCAAATAAAACAACAGAAACTGCTCAACAGAACTTGGTGAATGTTTGGATTTTTTTCACCAAATTATAACTAAACATTCAATTCAGTTTATTTCTATAGCACCCAGTCACAACAGAAGTCATCTCAGAAGACGGAACAGAAACATTCATATATATAAAAAAATAAATATTTATCTGAGGAGCAGACTGCTTTGAGTTTAACTTATCAAGAACTCTCATCTTGAGCAAGTATGAAGGCAACAGTGGAAAGGAAAAACTCCCTCGTGAGGATGAAACCTTTAGCAGAACCATACTCAGGACAAGTGCCCGCCTGCTTCAACCAGCTAGGTTTGAGAAGAAGAGGAAGGAGGAACAGATTCACAATGGCAGGTCAAGAATCCATTATCGTTTACCCATTTCTTCCTTTTTGGGTCATGGGCGTCGCCGATGCTCATGTCCAGCAATCACTGTGCGTGGGACGGGGTACACCCTGGACAGGTCGCAACTTGTCCATCACGGGGACACGAAGACAAACAACCATCCACTCTCTCTCACAGCTAGGGACAATTTAAAGTTACCAGTCAGCCTAATAATGTAGCACTTGTGTTAAATATTGTAACCGGCAATGCTAATAAGACCTAGGTTCTGAGGAGTAAATAAAGAATGTACTAAGTAGTAAACTGACAGATTTATTGTTATTTATAACATATATACATTTGGTATCACTATTGCCATGACACACAAACAAAAAAAAAAAACACAAATCCCCAAATCAAATGGAGCTCTTTTTTTCTCAAAAAAAAACAAACAAAAAAAACAATAAATAAATAAAATTTAAAGGATGAAATTAAAAAAAATAAATTACCAAGGGAATAAATTGGTTCCAAACCCTTGTTTTTTAGTTAAGTCTTTCTTTCTCCCTCTGTTTTTCTTATTGTGATTGTGATATTCGTGTCTCTTAAGTACTCCCATTTCTAAAAGTCATTGGTCAGATAAAACCCTCCGGTTCCCCCGCTGACCCCATTCCTGCATTGTTTTTCAAACAAGTTCTACCCACGATTGGACCCTCTGTTCTTACTATTATAAATAGTAGTATTGTGACAAGTGTGGTTCCCGATGTTTTCAAACATGCAGTAGTTCATCCGTTACTTAAGAAACCTGGACTTGACCCTTCGACTTGTTCAAATTTCAGACCAATCTCAAAACTTCCCTTCCTGACCAAAATCCTGGAGAAAATAGTTTTCATTCAATTAAAGAAGTTTTTGAATGAGAACAGAATCTTCGAGATTTTTCAGTCTGGTTTTAAGCAACTCCACAGCACTGAAACAGCTTTAGTGAGGGTTTGTAACGATTTTATATCAAATGATTCTGGTCAATTTGTGCTACTTGTGCTCCTGGACCTTACTGCTGCTTTTGATACGGTTGACCATAGTATCCTTATATCACGGAGATGGAGCTAGGTTGAGAGCTTTATAGGTTGGAAGTAAGATTTTGAATTGTATTCTGGATTTGACAGGGAGCCAGTGGAGAGAAACTAAAACTGAAGAGATGATCTCTCCTACTAACTCCAGTTAAGACTCTAGCTGCAGCATTTTGGATCAACTGAAGACATTTTAAAGAAGTATTTGGACACCCAGATAATAAACCATTGCAATAGTCCAGTCTAGACGTGATAAATGCATGGACCAGTTTTTCTGCAAAATTTTTAGATAAGATGTTTCTAATTTTAGTGATATTACGCAGGTGGAAGAAGTTGGTTCTAGTAACGTTTTTAATGTGGGGGATAAAAGACATGTCCTGATCAAAAATAACACTAAGATTTTTAACATTAGAGCTGGAGGACAGATTAATGCCATCTAAGGAGGGAGAAAGACTTAAAAATTCATTCCTAAGGTGCTCAGGTCCAAAAACCAAAACCTCAGTCTTGTCTGTGTTCCATCCATCCATTATCTTTTACCCACTTCTTACATTTTTGGGTCACGTGGGTCGCCAGTGCCCATGTCCAGCAATCACTGTGCGAGGGGCGGAGTACACCCTGGACAGTTCGCAAGTCCATCACATATAGACAAACAACCATTCACTCTCTCACTCACAACTAGAGACAATTTAGAGTTACCAATCAGCCTAACTTGCATGTTTTTTGGTCTGTGTGAGGAAACCGGAGAACCTGGAGAAACCCACACATGCACAGCGAGAACATGCAAACTCCACCCAGAAAGGCCTCTCGACCAGGATTTGAACCGGGGACCTGCTCGCTGAGAGGCAGCAGCTCTACCAGTTGTGCCACCGTGCTGCCTGTGCACCGTGCTGTCTGTGTTCAAAAAGAGAAAATTTAGGGTCATTCAGGTTTTTATGTCTTTAAGACATGTCTAAGTAACTGACTGAATTCATTGGGTTTTATGGACAAATATAATTGTGAGTCATCAGCATAACAATGAAAATTCATCCCATTCTGTTTAATAACTTTAGCTAATGTAAGCATATATAAAGTAAAGAGTATTTGCCCAAGCATTGAACCCTGAGGAACTCCATGACAAACTTTGGTGTATGAAGAAGTTCATTATTTACATCTACGAATTGGAATCTATCAAATAAATATAATTTAAACCAATTTAGAGCCGTTCCTGTAATTCCAATATCATATTCAAGTCTCTGTAATAAAATATTGTGATCAACTGTATCAAATGCAGCACTGAGGTCTAACAGGACCAGTATAGACACAAGTCCATTATCAGAGGGCCATGAGAAAATCATTAGTGACTTTTACTAGTGCAGATTCAGTGCTGCGGTGAGCTCTAAAATCTGACTGAAACTTTTCAAACAGATTATTTCTTTGCAGGTGATCATGTAACTGACCAGCAACTATTTTCTCTAGAATTTTTGAGATGAAAGTTAGATTAGATATAGGTCTATAATTGGCTAGGATTCCTGAGTCAAGGTTATGTTTCTTAATTAATGGTCTAATTACAGCAACCTTAAAGCTCTGTGGTACGTAACCATTTATTAAAGACACATTAAGCAGATCCAAGATGTGGTTATTAATTAAGGGAAATACATCTTTAAACAGTCTGGTTGAGATGTGATCTAGCAGACATGTGTAAGCTTTGGATGAAGCTTTTATTTTTGAAAATTCTGAGAGCTCAACAGGACAAAAACTGTCCAAACATAAATCTGTTTTTTTTCTTACACCCAGCCCCAGATGCAGAGAGCTGCCAATGCACCGGTGGCAGGGGAGCCTTCCACCGGAGGGGAGCATAACAGGGGGAAGTAGACCCCACATTAAATGGGGGGCCCAAATTGATCCAAATGGTAAATGGACTGCACTTATATAGTGCCTTTCTATCTTATTTCGAGATACTCAAAGCTCTTTACAATACAATCTGTGCCTCATTTACCCATTCATACAGCACTCTACTAGATCGCTACAAAGCTAATTGAACAAATCATTCTAAAGAGACTAATCAGTGCTTTATCACATTCATATCCAAGAGAGGGGATCACCTAAAACCCAACCCGAGACATAAACAGGCATACAGAGACCATACCATAACATACCATTTTATTTATAGAGCACTTAAAACAGCTACAAGGCCAACAAAAGTGCTGTACAGACAGAACAACAGACAACACACAAAGCAATACACAAAATGAAGTAAATCAAAAATTTAGACATAAAAACGATGCAGATAATAAATATGACGACAAACCAGTGTGGAGCATACAGGTTCAAAACACAGATCCTCTGGTGTTGAAAGCTACTGAATAGTAGTGAGTTTTTAAACGGGATTTGAAAACCGAGAGGCAGGGGGCCAGTCTGACAAGCAGAGGTAACTCGTTCCAAAGTCTTGGTCCTGGTACAGAGGAGGCCCTGTCACCTCTGCGCTTAAGAAAAGTTCCTGGAACTGTGAGGAGCAATTGGTCCGCTGACCTCAGGGAACGTGGTGGGACATACGGTTGTAGCAGATCAGAGAGATGGGAGGGGTGAAACTGTTCAGTGATTTGTAGACATACATGAGTATTTTGAACTGGATTCGAAGGTGAACCTGTAGCCAGTGCAATGAGGCCAAAACTGGTGTAATGTGCTCTCTTTTGCCTGTACTGGTTAAAAATTGGGCTGCTGCATTCTGGACAAGTTGTAGTCGTGCAATGGAGGTCTGACTGATACCAAACAGGAGTGAATTGCAGTAATCAAGCCTAGATGTAATGAATGCATGTATTACTGTCTCCAGGTTATTTTTGGCCAATATGGGCTTCAGTTTAGACAGCCGCCTCAGTTAGAAGAAACATGATTTAACAATCATGTTTACATGATTGTTAAGTTTCAGGGAAGGGTCCATTATCACACCCAG